GCAATCCGGCTCTGGATCTTACCCAGCGGGCGGGGACAGCGAGGTCGTGACCGCCCGCCTGAGGTGGGCCTCCCGCGCCCCTCGCGACGCCCTCCGGCTGGGGCATCTATCGGCGTTTGGGTCGATCCGTCCCAGCTGCCGGGACCACCGAGAGCCCGGGGATCCGGCTGGCACGGCTGACCGGGAGATGGCGCAAGCGCAAGTGGACGCAGGGGGGGGGGGAGGGCGCCCCGTCGGTGTACCCCAATTCGAAACTCTCCGGGCGTGGGCGGGCAGATTCCTTCCGAGGGGAGGTGGTGGGTGGGGGAGCGGGGGGTGCGGGGGGGGGGGGGGGGGCCACCCGGCCGCCCCAGGGCCTCACGCCCACCAAAAGCGGGGGGGCGTGAGGACGCGGGCAGAGGGGGGAGGATGAAGAGCGCGTGTGTGCCCACACGCCGCGCGACCGAGGCGAGAAAACAAAAACACACGACCAAGCCGCGGGGCGCCTGGCATCGTGCCGAGGTGGCGCATGCGCCCCCCCCCAGTCGGGGGCGCACAAGTTGGCTGTTGGGCTGGGGCACCCTCCTTGAGGTGGAGTACCCCCCCGCGGTCACCCCCCTCCCAGACGGTCTCCCTCGGCAGGGCGCGCATCTGGATGCGTGTATTTAGGGGGGGGGGGGGGGGTGCCTCGAGGCCAACGGGGGGATGTGCCCTGGGGCGGGTCCTTATGGCAGGATTTGGGCTCAAACGAGCGTGAGAGGGACATGAGGACGCGGCACACAAAACGGGGTACACCTCTGCTCGCACACAGGCCTCCGTGTGTCCCCGCTCCTCGCGGTGCCGGAAGCCTGCCCCAGCGGCGCCTCCAGTGTCTGGGCACCATTTTCCATGGGGGGGCGGAGGGAGGGTAAGGCCACCGTACCGAGGTGGCCAGCTCCGGCCCATCACTTGTGCCCGGGAAAGTGGTCGATGCAGGTGCCCCCCCCCCAAGCCCCCCTCGTCGCACATTCGCAGGCAGGTAGAGTTGCACACGCATGAGCACGGCGAGACACACGCCCCTTCGCCCCCCGGGGCAGGCCGCCAGCGAGGAGCTGCTAAGTGGTGGTGCTGGCGGGCTCCGGGGCGGAACGGCGGGCTCCGGGGTGTCGAGCGCCCTGACGGAGACGCCCCAAGAAAATCCCCCCCCCCCCACCCCCCCGCCTGGTGGAGGCCCGTCGAGACCGCCAGTCAGGCCCGCCGCCCCAGTTGGGGAAGAAGCCCCCCTGTTGTACTGCGGCGGGGGGGGGTGCAGGGCAGGAAAAGGAAGTATGGAACCCGCCGCGGCGAACCCCCCACCCTTCTCCCTCTCCGGAGCGGAGGCGGATATATTACCCACCACCGCAGCACACCGTGGGCCGGCATCCGAGGGTTCTCGTGCGCAGTCCACGAAGGCGCGGGGAGAGCCATGCGTGCGGGATCGGGTGCTTAGGGGAGGAGGTCCGCGCGATGCGACGCTTCATCAAAGGCAGGCTCGCCGTAGGGCGGTGCGGCTACATCTGGGGGCGACCACCCCCGTTTAGGTGCTGGGGCGAGGGGCCGGGGGGGGGGGGTTCGCCGCGAAAATGTGGGGACCGAGGCGGCCCTACCGCGAAGTGACAATAATACCGGATGTTCCCAGGCGGCCGGGCCCGCAATTGATCCGGCCGCCCTTCGAGCCGCGGGGACGCCGGTGGGGTGAATACACTGGGAGTAGCATCCCTCGAGAGCTCCGGGCCCCTGCCACGAAAAGAGGGGGCAATAGGCCTGGCCCGGAGGTCGGCCCTGTGGGGGCTTGGAAACAGAGAAGCCGGCCACGGTGGCGGGGGGGGGGGGGGGGGGGAGGGGGGGGCGGGCAAACGTGTTGCCGCCTTTTGGAAACAGGGGTGCCGAGCCCCGCGGCCACACAAGAGGGGGGCCAAATGATGAAGGCCCGAAGGGCGGCTTTTTGGGGGCGCAGGCCGTTACAGCGAGAGCGGGCACGGCGCGGGGCCGGCGCGGCTCACAGACTGGAGTGAGCAAGCGGAGCGCGGGCCCACCTCGCCACCTCCGGCCCCCCGCCCGGCCTCCGGAAGCCGCTGGTCGTAGTCCTGAGCATCAGGCGCCAGGGTGGGCAAGGGCGAAGCCCCCACCGGAAAACACACACATACACATGTGACACCACCCCATTTTGGGGGCAGGCTCGCGCACGCCGCCCGGGCTGAAGGCCCGGCGGCGGGGGGAGGAACCCAAGCGGCAGACAGCCACGCACAAGCGCCCACAGCTCCTGGACAAACAGCCGCGCCTGAAAGCGGAGGTATGTACAACCAGAAAAGGCGGGCCAGCCCCGGCGTACAGGAACACTGACGCCGAGTCGTTCCGGACGCACCGGACGCCCCCCCCCCCCCCCCCCCCCGCGGAAGGGCGAGGTCCGCCAACGGGCACGGCGCGTGTGAAAAAGCTCGCGACGCCTGCTCACCGAAAGGCAGGGCGCTCTGGCAAAAGCAGCGGCCGGCAAGCTGTCGGGATTCGCCAGCCGCCCCCCGTCCCCCTCCCCCCCGCCGGAAGGGCCCCCGCCCCTGTCCGCAATCGCGCCCTCGAGGAGCGTGAAAATGTGCACACGCCTGAGAGAATGCCCCCCCCCCTCCTTGGACGATTACAACCCCCCCTCCCTCGCGGCCTAAGTGAAGCCCTCAGGTTCGCGCCGAAACAGAGAACGCCAGGAAAGAGAGGGAGACAGAGGGAGAGAGAGAGAGACACACACACACACGCCATAGATGCTATGGTCTTGCGACTTTATGGGCCGCGCCTCATGGGGGCGCGTGTGCCCGGCGACCGCGCGGGAACACGGGCCAAAGGGAAAGCCCCCCTGCCGGGGCAGGCGCCAGAGTGGCCCGAGCACCCGCGCGCCTCACGGACCTTCACGAGGTGTGAGCAACACACATGCTCCACACGGCGACATCCGCTCCCCCAAGCGGGGCATCCGGGACGCCGGGCACCACCCCGAGGTGCCCCCCGCCCCCCCCCCAGGCCCGGCCCAAATACGCAACCTCCTCGGCGTGCCGAGGGCCCGCATGTGTGCGGGTGTATTGACACACACACATGCACATGCACAGAGACGGCGGCACACGCACACGCGCCACGGAGCCAGTGCTACAGCCTCGCACTGAAGGACGGCTATGCTGTTGCATGAATTTCAGCGCCCCAATAATCGCGAGGAGATCCCAACGCTCTCCAGCGCCTCGCACACCCTTGCCTGCTGCAACGTCTCGAGGCTTCTCGCGAGCAGGTGTCGTGCAGGATGGCTGGTGCCGGGGCCGGTCCGGCGCGGGGACGGGCGGGGGAGGAGGGGCACACATCGGAATAGGCGCAGCCCGCTCGCCCCCCCCCCCCCGGCTCTCACCTCGACAGAGGGGGATAACTCAGGAGGCGAGGAGTGCGGACACAAAGACCGTCGGGTCTGACATCAGGCCGAGCGCGATGAACTATCCCCTCCAGCGGGGCGACCCCGGGAGCAATAGCCAAGCTTGTGAGCTCCCCCACTCGCACGGAGGGGGGCCCCTTTTATCCGGGCCCCGGCCAGGCGGCAGCACGCCTGTGTACCTCGATCCTTGCGCGCGCGCGCGCACACACACACACGGATGTATATAGTTCGGCGCAAGCAGAAGGGAGGACAGGCGCGTGGACCTGCACAGCACACCCTGCTCGGTCTTTCTGCCCTATCCTTCCCACCCTACGGCCCCCTCGCCTGTGGTCCTCCGGGGAACACCAGGCCCCAGGATCAGCCAAAAGGAAGCACCCCCCCCCCCCCCCCCTCCCTCCCTCCGAGGCAGGGGCTAGAGCTCTTTCACATTGGCCGCGCATTACACCATAACTCGGGGAGCATATGGTAATCCGAGCATCAGGCAATGCTGCACAGGGCCCGGACGGCGCAGGTAACCCACAGGCAGAGGCCCCGCCTGCCGCAAGCGTATTTGGCGAATGCGGCAGGCGGCAGGGGCAAATGTGCGGTGACCAATGAAAACCACGTCGGCCTCCCTCACGCGCCGGGCTCCAAGGGCCAGACCATCGAGGGGGGAGGCTCTCGCCCCCGGAAAGAGGGCGTGTCTCTCGCGGACGTCCCCGTATCTCGCCCCCCCCCCCCCCCGAGGCATCCGAACGATGTGGCCTGAGAAGTGTCCAGCATGTGAAAGCGCAAAGGCCCATGCCCATTGGCATAGCGCCTCGCCAACGGAGTTCTCTCAACACCCGAGGGTGCGGCCTGACACGCGCGAGCCGCGCCAGCAAGCCTTCGCCTGCGCGTCCCCTCCCACATCTCCTGGCCAGCCGCCCCCCCTCGGAACAATCGAAATCCCGAGGTACCAGGTTCGGAAAAAAAAAGGCCCCAAGCACCTACGCCTCAGCGAGTGCCGGCACCTTCACCGAAACATCCAGAGCAGCACTTGATCAGCGAACCCGAAACACAGCCCCTACCGCGGCCCCGCCTCTCGGAAGGGATTGATGCCAGGAGGGGCGGGGGGGGGGGGGGGGGGGGGGGGGGAGACCAAGGGCCCGGGTAGATGCCTGCCTTGCTCTGCACGGCCGGCTTGACTAAGGCTCGCGGCTCGGTGTGACCAGCCGCACCGCCAGCATCCACCCTTCGGGCGGGCCACCCAAGGGAGAGCAGGGGGCGGCGGACACAGAGACCCGATCCACGCATTACATCCGACAGCTCCCTCCCTCACCTCTCCCGAGGCAGAACCCGCCGAGGCGTCAAAGCGCCGACCGAGGCCCCAGAAGGGGACACCCCACCCAGGCCCAAGTCCCGGCACCCTGTGACCCAACGAGGACCTCCTACGACCGGCGCTACCTGGCCGGGCTTTTTTGCACGGGCCGAGGAAGGCAAGTCTCAGTCTAGAGCATGGAGAGACCGGATAATCCGACAATAAAGATGGAGGATTATTTTCAAATTGCATTAGCCGCTACACGTTCTGGATAGTGTGCGTTCTCCACCATCAGACCCATGGCCAGCACTTGACTAACTTGCGGGAGCCTCCCGAAGCTCGAAACGCGAACAGATCGCGCACCCAGGTAGCCGCATCATTCGGAAGGTGCCGGAGTAAACGCCAATTTCCCCATGAAAGGACATATAATCATCCAGGGGTCTTGCCAGGCCGGTGGCCAGCTTGAGCGCTTCGCCAACGCCGATGCCTACAAGGCCAAGCGTGAGTGGCAAATAAAACCACGGGGATGGTCATGAGTTGGAATACCTGAATGCGAAAAGGGGGAGAGAGAGAGAGAGAGAGAGAGAGAGAGGGAGGGAGGGAGACGGGGGTGGGGGAGTGACGCACCAGCAATCAGGGCATTGGTCGACACAACGGCCGGCGTCGCCTGGCGCAGGGTCGCCACCACGGACGCACGACCGACCCCGGGGATGCCGAACTCCTGGGCCCGCGCCGCGGCCGACTGGGCCAGCCAGCTGATATGCGCCTCGTTCTCGGGCTGGATCTCGACGCCTGGACCGCGCGCCGGCCAGTCCACCTGCACGGCCCAGGCAATGCAGTGTCCAGCAGTACGCGGCCGACCGGCCAGCGTGCAGAGAGGCGCCTCGGCCGTCTCGTCATTTGGATACAACCCGGCTTGGCATTCAATGCAGGAGGTAAATCCCGGGATGATAATGCGAACCTGGCCGCTGAGGCCTTTTTAGTTGATCAGGTCGGGCAAGGCCGACTGGTTAGTCTGACCGAGATGCGGTCTGGGTCAAGGGGAGTGGGGGGTGGTGATGCGAAGGACGCGCTTTCGAAGGGACACCGCCATGCGCACCCTCGGAGCCACAGTCGATCAGGGGAATGGCCGTGGCAGGGTCGGCGCCTCCGCCAGGTAGCATGTCAACCATCCTGTGAAGTGTTCTGCATGATGGTGTTTTTGGTTGGTGCTGTTCTTGTCAGGGGTGTTGGGGCGGAAGGGACGGCCGAGGGGCAAGCCGGCGAACATGCGTGCGGGGTATTAAAAGAAAGAGCATCATCACAGGGAGGAGAGGGAAGTACATGTTCACCCAACGCCGAGCCTCAATGGAATCCAGACCGGAGAGGATGAGTTGGAATCGGTGAAAAAAGGAACGTGGAAGCTGCGTCAGATCCGCGCACACCGATTCCACGGTGGCCTGGGGGAATCGCGCCCGTGCGACCTGCGCTGCGACCTCGGCCTTGGGGCGTCCAACGTCACGCTCACTGCATGCGAGGAGAAGATGGGGGGCGGGGAACGGCGGCACAGGGTCATGGTGATGGGGCGTGCAGGGGGGTATGGGTGGGTGAGTAAGTGACAGACGGTTGGAATGGGCCGCCATGTGCTGACGGCGGAAAGAAAAAGACGGGCTGGCGCACCGGAAAAGAAACTGGCGGTGGAGATTGCTCACCTCGACGGTGTCCATGTCGACGATGACCAAGTTGCCGAAGCCACTCAATAAGCAACACTTGAGCAGCTCGCACCCGATGCCGCCGGCCCCGAGGATCAGGACGGGCAATTGGAAAAGTGCATTGGTCTGCGCGGCAGTGGTGGTGGTGGTGGTGGTAAGGGGGGGAGGGGGAGGGGGAGGCGGCGGGCGGTGAGAAGAGGGAAAGACACGACTGGCGGTGGAAAAGCAGTTGTCCGTGTTGGGGCACCTTTTGCGCAAGAAGCACCTCATCGGTGGCGGTGGAACTGGTAGTGCCAAGGGAGAAGGCGCGGAGGATCTCCGTGAGGCCGGGGGGGATCAGTGTGCCGGTGGGTGGGGTAGTAGGGAGACCCTGGTGTGCGTAGCAAAAGGAGGGAGGGGTGTGAGAGAAGGGCGGTAGTCCTGGTATGGGCTCGCCGTTTGCGGACCTCGGCCCCCCAAGAAATCCGAGCCAGTGATCGGCCATCGCGATCGGGGGCATCTGATCACATGTGTCTCTCCCGTGTGGCAGCCAGCACGTGCCCGTGCTTATGCGTTTTGTACGTCACAAACCCGATGAAATTGGGAATAAATAAATGGTAAATCTTTTCCCCCGGTCTTCCCCAAATAAAGTCGTTGGAACAGAGGGACAGCACGATCCACCGGGGCGGGGGATCATCTCGCACGAGAGGCGGCCCTGAGGGAGTCGGGGGGAGGCCGGTATCCATCCCGCCTGCTCCCTTTTTCGCTCTCCCCGGCGTGTTTTCCAATCGGGTGGGACCGAAGGTCTGTCCCTGTCTGTTGCTCAAGGCTCGGCCAAAGGCATGGGTTATTTTCGCGGCACCTTCCCCCTCCCTCGCCCCTCGTGGAACATTTCCCTCGCAGTGGCAGGCGGAGAGTCGAATATGTCCGGGGGAATGCCGGCCGCGGCAGGCGGAGGGGGCGGGTGTTCTGGGCGAGGTCCCGCGCGGGCGGGGTGTGGCGAGGGTGCTCCGGAGTGTCGTCCACCTAGGCAGGGGAGTTCCGCGGGAGGTGATCCAGCGCGAGTTTCCCCACTGGTTGTGAGAGCGAGGCCCAGGGGGGGGGGGGGAACAGGCCATCCCTTGGCTCCGCTCCCCTCCGGATGCCGACGGGGGTGGCCCAGTGACGGGTGGACGGGGCTTGCACCTGGCAGTTGCTCGGGGCCTTGCGCGGCCGGCAGCGTGAGGGAGGCAGGCGCCCGGGGGGGGGGGGGGCTTGGCCGGGGGCGAGGCCCTTGGGGGGGAACTCAGCCGGGGCGACTACCTGGGGGGGGGGGGGAGGCGGGGGGCGGGAGGCGTGCGGCACCCGAGAGTCTGTCCCTTGCCCCGCAGGCGCCGGTCTGGCGGGGGGCCAGTCCCCGTTTGTCCCTGCCCCAGCGACGGGGGGGAGGGAAGGGGGAGGGGGAGACGCCGCGCACCGGCGGCGGTTTTACCGCGGGAAGCCCATCCTGGCGCCAGGCCAGATGCTGAAGAGAGCCCGCGGCGGGCTTCACCTGTGCCAGGTTTCGGTCTCCAGTTGTGTGTTTGTTGTTTTTTTTAACTTAATCACTCGCACAAATCAGACATCATGGCCCCCAGTTCGTATCCTCCCCTCCCCTCCCCTCCCCCCCTTTCCTGCTATTGCACCCTCCTCCCCCCCTGCTCGACCCTTCCTCTGGCCGGCTGGCCGCCGCAGGAATGTCCCTGCCCCTGCTGCTCCCTTCGCCCTGGGTGGAGGCCGCGCGACGTCCTCCCTCGCTGCTTCTCTCCTGCCGTCGTCCTCGCATCCGTTCATCCCTCCTCCTGAGGGAGGGAGTGAGAGACACACCGTTTGTGCATGTCTCTCTCTCTCGGCAGGCTCGCTCCTTTCCCATACTTTCGCCTCTCGTCGCCTTGCTCCCCGCCTCTTTGCAACGCATGCCTCACTCCTCGGACGCGGGCGGCTTCTCGACGCTCGCCCGGCCTCTCCTTGTCCGCGCACCCGTGCCTTCGCCCCGGACCGCTCCCCGCCCGGATTCCCCCTTCCCGAGTTCCCATCAGTCAGGTGGCCATCAACAGGCATGGGCTCGTCCCGCGCGCGCGCGCGCGGTTCACGGCGCAGGTGTGCCCTGGATTGCTGGTCGCTTGCCTGTACTCGCGCGTGCGCATGTGTGATGGTGTGCTGCCTGGCCTCTCGGGGAAGGGGCGGTTCCGTCGGAGATCGGCTTCGTGGCGCCGGTGCGCCATCCAGGAGTGTGCCCGGGCGCCGCGCGGAATGCCGCGATATCCCGCCTCTCCTCTCCGAGGGGGAGGACTATCTCTCTCTCTCTCTCCCCCACTTCCGAGTGTGTGGCATGCGTCATCGAGGCCGGGGTAACAAGCAGGCACGCGGGGGGCGCCAGACACGGGACATGTGCGCCGCGGCTGTGTGTTGATGGTGATGCGTGTCGTCGGTCCCAGCTCAAGTCGGGAGTGCACGCATCGGATTCAACTCGCATCCGACAGTGGGGCATGTGTGTATGTGCGCGCGCGCGAGTGATGAACGTCAGAGAGAGGTGCCCCTCTCGCAACGGAGAGAGGCGTCGACGGCCGGGCAGAGCAGCCTCCCCCCCGGATCCGAGGCAGGAGGAGCCGGTCGTCCAGTAATGCGTGTGGGGCCACGCCCAGGGCGCGCCATGGCTATTTAAGTGGCGGTCCTGGCAGTCGATGCGGCCGGCAGGCTTCCTTTCCTCTTCTCCCTCCCTCTTTCCTCCTGTGCTCGCTCACTCTCCCGCGGCGTGTGCATCCTCTCTGACCTTCTCCCCTCTTCCTCTCCCCCCGCCTCACTCGCACACGATGTCCTCCTCCTGCCGTGGCCCTCGCACAGCCGGTGTCTCCAAGGCCACTCTCAAGGCTCAGTCCGCTCAGAAGGCTAACGCCAAGGGTATCCAGGCTAAGACCCAGCGCAAGATCCGCACCTCCGTCCACTTCCGCCTCCCCAAGACCCTTTCTCTTGCTCGTGCCCCCAAGGTCCTCCGCAAGTCCATCCCCTCGGCCACCGCCCTTGACGCCTACACCATCGTCAAGTTCCCGCACAACTCCGAGGCTTCCCAGAGCCAGATCGAGGCCCACAACACCCTCGTCTTCATCTGCGACGTCCGCTCCAACAAGCACCAGATCAAGCTTGCCCTCAAGTCCCTCTACGACATTGATGCCTCCAAGATCAACACCCTGATCACCCCGTCTGGTGTCAAGAAGGCTTTCGTCCGCCTCGTCCCTGAGCAGGATGCCGCCGCTGTTGCCTCCAACGTACGCCACGGATGCGCTCTCTGCTTGCTGTCACCCTGCCACGTTGCCGCGCGCTTCTCTCTCTCTCTCTCTCTCCCCCGTGTCCATGTGTCTGTGTGCTGACCTGCTTTCGCCTCGCGCGTGCCGCCCCCCCCCCCTCCCTCCTTCCTTTCTTTCTCGTCCCTTCAGATTGGCCTCAACTAAGTGATGAGCCCCTTTCCCCTTTCGCAGGCTCGCTCCGGCCGGAGGATGGATTTCTTTCTTCCTGGGGTTTCGCCTAGAATATAGCTCGTTTCTGCAAAGAAAGACTTTCCCCCCCTCCCCGCTTTCTCGTGTGCTGTGGCGCTCTCGCGTGTCTGTCTGTGTGTGATCTCCATGTCATGGGGGGGGGGGAGGAGGCTAGCTGTGTGTGATGGGCTCGCGGGGAGGGAGGTCGGTGCTGGTGGTGTTGTGCGCGCGTACGCGCGCGGCGGCCATCCATGGGTTTCCTCTGGCACGGAGGCGGCGGGGCGCAGCCCGGGGGGGGGGGAGGGGGGCGGGAAGACCCTGCCAGGGGGCGCCATGTTCGGCGGCAGAGGGTGGGAGTGGGAGGGAGACGACATCGCGCCGCCTGGGCCGGACTTCACGCACGTAAAAGGATGGGGCGGAGGGGGCGCCTTGCCGCTGTGTGTACCGACGGGTTCCCAGGCCGAGGGGGCGAGTGGTCGTTGTGCCGGTCGCCGTGCCGCGTCCTATCGCTCCCAATCCACCCGTCCTGTGATCCCCCTCAGATCGCGCTGTCGGCGGTGGCTCTGTGGTCTTGGCCCCCCGTCATCATCCCCCACACTCGCAGAGTACCTTCCTGGCCCTTTGGGCGCCGCGCGCACCGTGAAAGGGAGAGCGGCTCACGGTCGTGTATGGTGTTTCCGTTCCGGCCATTGTCTCGCGTCCCTTGCGGCCAGCGCGAGGTGCCGGTCCGCGTCCCGGGTCCCCCGGCGAGGTGTCCACCTCCGTGTTCTCCTTGTCCAGCATCTCCCGGTGGGAGGGGCCCTTGTCTGCCAGGGGGACGGCGTCGCACGGCCGTCCCCACATGCCAACGGATCATCATAAGCGATTCAAGTTAAGGGAGTTAATTATTGCACCACATCCCTCCGGAGATGTCCGGCACCCGAGGTCGCCCGAGGTTGCGTGCGTCCTACATCCTGGAGGCGGGGTAGAACAGCCAGAGTGGATTGTATATGTGTGTGTCTATCTGTGTGTGTGTGTGTGTATTTGGATATGGGGATGGGACGGGGCCTTGGCGTAACGGGAGGCAGGGTGCCGCCCGGCCTCCGTCGCGCTCTCTCCGATTGGGCACGTGCCACCTTCAATGCCGATTGTTGACCCTGGCAAATGCAAGGACCAGGAGCAGCAGAAGAATCGCGGCCAGCACGGCAGCTCCGAGGACCATCCGCGCGCGAAGGCACCCGGCTCGGCGAGCGACTTCGGCCGGATCGGCCTCTTCGTCCTCATCCTCGTCATCCGGTCGGCGGCGGTATCGGTGGAGATAGTCGGGTGGCCGTACAGGCCCGAGGCCCAGGGGCTTTGGTCGGGCGGTCATTTTATTCGGCCAGAGGGTGTTGTGGTCTAAGTGTGTGCAGGAAGGACACGTCCGGATGGAGGCACGTGTGCGATGCATGGGAGGGGCGCAGGTAGGGTAACCCTAATAAAGTCAAGAGGGGCGACTGCCTCATATGTGCTTCATCACATGGGCCTCACGCGGACGAGCCACTGCCACGGCGGTTGGGAGCTGATTCCTGTCCTCTTCCCGCCCCGGTCGCTGGGACGCCGGGTGCCTCCCCTGGCAGGCCCGCCAGGCCACCCTTACACCCGGCCCCCCCCCCCCCCCCCCCCCCCCCCCCCCCCCCC